TTAGTAATATAAGGGTTTGAACAATTGTATATATATATATATATATATATATATATATGAGTGCGCATGAAATTACTTTTAATTTTCCTGGAAAGTGTGAATATTACAATAGTTATACAAACACCGCACTAGAATGCATTCTTAGGCAAACAAAAGAACTTATAAAGGAGAAGATAGGTTGTTCGCGAAATGGTCGAAGATTTGGGCGAAAACGAAAAGAGAGGGGGAAGAGGATGGAAACGGGGGGTTGAGAAAGGTTTGTATGGCAATGTGTAGGTAAACCTACATTGCAGAACGCACCCCCAGGAGGGACGGCGGCAACGAGAGTGAACCCCGAGTTTGCAGGGGTTGGACAGAGAGAGCGAGGGTCGATATTGTGCTTGACAGATAGTTTCCCATAGCTCCGACAATCCATCATGGCCGGCACGCGGATACGTATTGGTTTTTGTGCAACGCGTCTTAGCTGTGAACTTCGAATTGAATATATTTTTTTCTCTGCCAATCCTCTTGCGTAAAATTTGTTTTCGCGTGCTATGAAAAATTTTAGAAGAGAAGAAAAATAGAGAGAAGAGAAAAGGAAAAAAATATATCTCTATATAATAATTAAATAATCTATTATAAATTTACATACACTCAAATACATATGTACACACACAGGCCATTTGATTTATAAGAGACAAGAAGGGGAATGCAAACTTATTTTTGTAAAATGATAAATTTTGAATTATTTTACATTAATTATACTTGCAAATTTACAACTTATTAACATAATTTTAACTAAAACTCTTATTTCATCTAGTATCTGATTATTTGAATTATTCATTAAAATTTGGATTTAATTTCGAAATTCAAATCCGGATACCTGAATGTCCAGAATCTTCGAATACCTTTTCCCGATTGCATAAATACGTAAATTACTATTAATTATTGATTATTTGTATAATAAATCGATGGCAAATTATCTACTAATCCTAAAAGTAATCAATAAATTCTATGTATGTATATATAAAAATACTCAATATAATTATATTTTTATTTTTGACTATTATAATATAAATTATAATATAAATATTTTATTTAAAAAATTAATTTTTTATCCCCCTTATGCGAATCTTCTCATATCAAATGTTCCTTGATCGAGTAAATATATCTATAATCTATATCTCTGTATTAATTGTGACGCATTATCAATTCATAGCGCGTATTCGTTCACAGAAGCTGTGCGTGTAAACCGGTTACGGATGCTCCGGAATCTTAACTTGATAATTACAATTGCCTCGGTTCGATCCATTAAATTTGTGATTATCAAACGCGGTTGATGACACAGATTATATGGCTCTCCGACGGGAAAGTCCCGTCATGGGCAACCTCTATAAACCCACGCGTGTGACGTTGACGCAAAATAATGTGGCGATAGTATCAACCACCTAGAGAGAATCGATATTAGAGTTCTTACTATTCGACTTATTTATTTGTGTGACGTCATATTATTAATTTGCAATTGCCCGGAGGTCAAACATTTATAGATGACTCGAATCATTCTTCTCGTATATGATTGAAACCTAATTTCAATGATAATAATTACTTCGACGGAGTCATCGACCCCGTTGACACTGAATGGATGATGGTGGGGCAGATTATAGTAGTGCAGAGAAAGAGAGAGGCGTATGAACGGGTGCATAAACCATCCTGCGAATTACCGAGAGAAAGCATAACAGATACACGTGTCTTGGCGGCTCCGCTTTTGCGCGACGCATGATTCATAGGGGTCTTGATACGTTTTTTACACCTGCGACAGCTTTATTGGAAATTCTAATGGAGAGGGTCCACCGGGAAGAGTGACACGAGACTTCAAGGCAATGCGTCTCAGATCGACCAAAATAGGCCGGTCAGGTCCTACCTCTTGTCGAGAATCTTACCATCGTCAGGCATCAATTGCGTTAAATCGAAATATCTTTTCCTTCGCTTTGCCAAATAATAAAGTAAAATAATCTTGACGATTAAATATATAAAAAAAGTTTTAAATAAACTATATAATTACATATTATTTTTACATCCTGTCTTCTTTCTTTTTTTAAGTTTGGTGACATAATTTATAGATGTACGTAATAAATACTTTAAGTTCGCGATAATAAAATATATATGGGTATTTTTTATCACAAAATAGAGATCAAGATAAAAAATTTGTGTTTTATAAGTAAGAGCAATAATCTCCAAAGATGTGTGTGCATAAAATGCCATATAGATATAGTTACGTACTGACGTTGAATGGCGTAATAGCATTTCGGTCCACCGTTTAGCGGTCCTTGGATCACGATTTTTCATCAGCCGCGCGAAAGAAGAGGTCTAAAGTGATAGTAGGTGTAGGACAAACAGCGCGGACTCTGAAGTGGCGAATGCCACAGAACGAGTGGGGGAGGGGATACGCGGCCGTGTGTACGTATACAGATGCGACGACTCAAAGTAGAAAAGATAGCCAGTTTCGTCTGAACGGAGGGGGCAGACGATTAAGTGGGGAGAAGAAGAGGGAAAGGGTAGGACGACCGGGGGCGGGCGCGCGCCACAATTCAACGAGAACAGCCGCACTCACCACATCTGGCGAGCAACTGCTACACTATCGGCTTCTACTCAAAACGCTCTCCTTCCTTCCAAATTGCTAATTGCCGCAAATTAAATAGCCGTGAGCTCTCTACAAGTCAGTACGGTAGAAATATGAAGACGTATGAGAGAGGCATGTGCATAGAAAAATTATTGGAATTCTACATCTAAAATTTGTAGTCATTACGATTGTAATTGCATTACTTTTTTATAATACTTGTTATTTCAATGATCGCAATATTGATAAGAAATAAATAGGAAGAGAAATTTCAGAAAAAATAAAGGAACGTAAGATTTACGTAAATTAATTGCGTGCGCGCACGTGAAAGAGAAAATATAGGGAATACATTGTTGTAAAAAGTGTCAAAGAAATCTTGTTTAATGCCGTAAAGAACTTGTTTAAAGTCTTATCTGCGCGACGAGTAAAGAGAGCTCCGCCTCCTCAGTCGTCCCCTCCGCCCCGTTGCTACCCTGGAGTGCCCCCCGTTTGACCAACTGGCTACTACGTCACACATGCTTCTGGTTAGAGCCGCCAACTCCGAAGGTTCTCCTCTCGGTCGGCTCAGTGAGTTACGAGTTGCGTCCGGGTTCGCCGTACGAACGATAACGGGGGCGTCAATCGAATCGCGATTGGGAGAGGATTCTACCTCGTGCACGCTCTTCCCTCCTTGTCTTTCTCGACTACAGGCAACAGGTTTGAATTTATGGGACAATAAAGAGTGTGGTGCGTAGTGCGCGTGTCTCTCTCTCTCTCTCTCTCTTTCTCCCTTTCTTTTCCTCCCTTTACGCCTTTCTTTCCCGTTCTAGGCCGCTCTTTCTCTCGCGTAGACATCCTGTCCTTTCGTGAAAAGAGGAGCGAGCGAGCGAAGACTATCAAAGTCTCATAAAACTGTCAGCCGCGACCACCGGGCTGACTTATGTGCGCCCCTTCCTTAGTCGCGGTTGGAGAACCACACGCTTCCAGATTGGATCTGTGCCTGTCGCGCGACGATCACGATTCCATAGCGAAGCTTTTAACGAAAGATCAGACGCACGATCTCCGCGGTCTCAGAAAGAGACAGTCTACGGAAGTGAATGCTCTACTTGCTCGCTCATATCCCCGACTCGCGATCCCGCGAGTTACGATATGCGGCAATTCGCACTTTTAAGATTTGCATACTATTCCTCTATCCCCTGATCGAATAGAGATACGGTACGTATGATCGAGCTAAGATGGATTCACGAGGATGAAGTCGATGGCGGTACGGCGATAAATTAAACGGGTGAATAGTTTTCGGTCGATCGGTAAAGAACAATCGCGCTTTCGTGTGTGCCACCCCTTTTCTTTTTCATCTGTCTTCACCGCGAGGCTATACAGTAGGGGGCGCGTGCGCGCGTAGCCCCCCTCGCAGAGCGGACGCAAGACTGCTTCTTGGTGACGTCGCGGCTAGAAGGCTGCAGAGGAGAACGAGAGAGCGATCGAGATACTTCTCCCCCACCAGCGGTTTTCAGAACTCCCGAATATCTCTCCATTAGCCCCCCTGACGGTGCTATCCCCTCTCCTTGACCCCTCTCTCGCCCTCTTTCTCTCTCTTACGCACACCCCTCTCATCGGTTCCTGTCACGTCGGGTAGCAGCCAGGCAACACCACCACACGACGAGCGCCAGCGGCAGCGGAGACTCGACGGAGACGCAAGGAACGGGGTTGAAGAATCGTACGCCGACGGAAAGACCAATCAAGGTTTGACGAACGGCAGGGATTGGTCGAGGCGCTCCTCTGACACGCAGAGAGCGCGGGCACGTGACAAGCTACCGCACACACCGGTCTTTCGTTGGATCGTGACGAGGGCCTTCAGTACGATAGCAGTCACCCTTCGCGCACGCAACAGGAACGGCGAACGCTCGTGCGATATACTCTTCACCTCTATCGTGGTGATATGAGTATACCGCCGCTGTCGCGATACAAAGTCGTCCGTTAAGTGAAACATTTGTGACATCGTCCGAGCATAATTAATTATCGCGCGGAATAATTTTAATACGCGCTTTATACGCGGTGTTTAAATACACTCGTCATTTCATTCAGCACTTTACAACGTCGTCGTCATCAATGGGACACCTCGATAAGCTGTTTGTTACGCGCTACTGCACGGTGGGCCCACAAGTTCTCTGTAGGTAATCGCGACTCCCGAGGTCGTAAAGAAGCAGAAGACAGTTTTATAGCCCAGGCCCACGTGGCCCTCGTAAACTTGACTCGCAGGTCGGATTCAGGCTCGACCCGCCTGCCGCCGCTCGTCTACCGCCTCTCTCTATTAGTCCTGAACCCCTCGTTCATTATCGAATCGCTCTGGGACGTGTTTCTCCACATGTAACAAGTCGTGATAGCTGTGAATCGTTCGACGAACAAGGTGTCAGAGGAACCGACCGCGTATGTCGCGCGAACGTTCTCGTCACGCAACAGAGTCACCGATGTGATGATATGGGTTTCTATACTTAATGATCGGCGTATGCGCGTTGTTCAATCACGTCTCGATCAATCGAACGCAACGTCGTTGGTGTTTTCGTTCGTGAATGACGGAACATAGACGTGCAAAAGTATCGGTACAGTGACAGTTGACGATAGGTGGTAGTTACAAGGTGGAGAGAATGAGTTCCTATCAGTTCGTTAGCTCGCTTGCATCATGCTACGCGGGTCAACAGCCACAGCAGCAGCCGAGACCGACGCCGAATTCGCCTGGAGAACCGATGCAGGCAGCATCGCCGGCCGGTGGCGACTATTACAATCCGAATGCGGCGTCCACCAGCTATCCCGCGCCCTGTTACTCACCGCAACAGCATTATCCTCAGCATCCTTATGCCGCGCCGGCGTCGGGTATGCAGCATACAGCACCGACCGGGATGATAGACTATACACAATTGCAACCGCAACCACGATTAAATGCGACCGCGACGTCGCAACAGCACGGTATGCACGCTCAGCAAACGCAGCATCATCCTCAGCAACCGCATCATCCTCAGCAACAATTACACGCGGACCCGACGACACCCCTATTGCAGGGCGCGTCAGCACCTTCAGCGCCGTCAACGTCCAGTTGTAAATACGCCGATTCGACCTCGTCTACCAGCGTGGCGTCCCCGCAAGATCTGACTACGTCCACTTCGAGAAACAGCCCGACACCTTTACAAGTCGCGCCAGGTACAAGTAAAGCCGCATCGGGGCTGACTTCACCGCCCGGTAGCTCGTCAAGGTCGTCCGTGGCTGCGTCCGCTGCCTCACCGCCGAGCGGTAGCTCGAGGGGTGTCGGCGAGGGAAATTCGACGCTTACAACAGCATCTTCCGCTTCATCGCCCGCTTCCTCCACATCCAGCACATCTAGCACGGGTAACAATTCGTCCAACAAGGGCAATCCCTCTGGCAGCAACCCGCCTCAAATATATCCCTGGATGAAAAGGGTTCATATTGGTCAAAGTAAGTTGTTTATATATATATATATATATATACATATATTTATATATTATAGTATATATATCTTGCATATTTTTCAAATCTTGATATTATTTAAAAAAATAGAGAGACTTTCATTGATATTTTAAAGCATGTCTTCTGCACGCTTCTTCCTTTTTGAATGGAATAACTTGCTTTTACTTTATCGAAAAAGTAAAAAAAAAAAATTAATAAGCAAAACAAATTACTTAATTAGTAATAACCGTTACAACTGTTTAGAATAAAATTTTAGACTCTTAATCTTATTTTATTTTAAATTTGAGTTTAATATATGATTGGAAATTTTGGCTAATGTATTAATACGAACACGCATATAATTATTCTGTTTACATTCGGAATGCCATCTCCGTCCGTTAAAAGCGTAAAAATACTAAATTACAGCTAAGATATACGATTCCGGCTTTTATATAAATCTATTGAATTTTGATAACGGCAATCTCTCTTCATATATTATATTTTGTACATTTTAGTGTGCTATAAACACAGGAATAAATCTTGACATTTATTTAATTTCAAAAGCAAATTCTATCTTTTTGTATACATGTGTATGCCGGTATTTATTCTTGATCACAAACAACATCATGACATTAAGTTGCGTAACGCGTCCTTGTAGCTTCTGTGCAAAAATATTAGGAAAAGATTAGGAAAAAGATACATTGAGTTATATAAATAACTTACACTGTTATCGTCGGTATTTAATAGTTAAAGTTAGATAGTCGTTGCATAAAAAGAACGAGACAATTGATAAACTACAGCATATATCATTTGACGTAAAAAAGCATATTACATAAATATTGCTTGAAAACACATTATACATATCTCAGAAATATCGCGTGATAATTATAGATTTAATATATTCAAAGATTAATAGATCAACTTTCTCAGTACGGAACCTTGCTTCTTCACAGAAATCATTTGAAAAACTATATTAAATTACAGAAAGAGAGAGAGAGAGAGAGAGAGAGAGA